GGCGGGCCGGCGGGCCGGGCGGGGATGTCCCGGTGCCACCTCCAGACTTGGTGGGGACAGGATGACAGCGCTTCAGGAGCCACTCCAGCCCGGACAGTGTAACTCAGTGGCTCCATCCCCAGTGTGGGGCGAGCAGGAGGCAGCCGATCCATGCTTCTCTCTCATCACTGATGTGCCTATCTCTGTCCTTCCCTCCCTTCCTCTCTGAATTCAATAACAAAATGTGTGTGTGTTTTTTTAAAAAAGAGCCACTCCACCTGCAGGTCTGGACCCCGCCCCTCGGTCTGGCTCGGCACCACCTGGGCGCGTCCAGCAGGCCTGAGGACGGAGGGTGAGACTCTGATTCTGTATGGGGGGGCCCTGGCTGACAGGCCTCAGAAAAGGGACCCCCGTGAGTGGACGGGAAGCCCTCACCGACCCATGTGCGCCCCCTCTCCCCGACGTCTGGGTGAGGCACTGGCACCCACAACTGTGTGCACAGAGGTGAGTGTTTAACTTCCTTATCAACCGGCTGAGCCTGCTGCGGGCGGCGCCGGCTGTGGGAGGAGCCGGAGAACATTCCTCGGGCAGCTGGACCGCGGACCGTGAGGCCTGTGAGGCCGCACACGGGCCTCGGGTTCAAGTTGGGACGCCGGGGAGGAAGTGAGAGGTACGAGAGGTATGGTGTGGAGCAGGGTGGGTGCGGGCGGGGGAGCAGGGCCTGTGGGTGCTCAGCCCGCGTTCGTGTCCTGAACACCAAGGGCTCAAAAGAGAAAGGATGCCCAAGACCAGGGAGGGGACCACCTGGCCCTGCAGGAGACCCCGCTGCGCGAGTCACCCCCCCAGCCAAGCCGGGAACCCCCAGGGTCTCCTTGCAAATGGAAACGAACCCCTGAAGGCCTTCCTGCTGGAAACACACACAAGTGCAGCCTGTTTTAGTTTTAAAGAGAAAAGGTCTGCTGCTGGATCAGTGGTTCTCAACCTTCTGGCCCTTTAAATACAGTTCCTCATGTTGTGGTGACCCTCAACCATAACATTATTTTCGTTGCTACTTCATAGCTGTCATGTTGCTACTGTGATGAATCGTCATGTAAATATCTGATATGCAGGATGGTCTTAGGCGACCCCTGTGAAAGGGTCGTTCGACTGCCAAAGGGGTCGCGACCCACAGGTTGAGAACCGCTGGGTTAGAGGCTTTGCGTCAGGCACACAGAATACTGTGGTTAACGACGGGGAAAAAACAAAAGCCAACCTGAACGGCAACTCGCTAGTATGTGGCGCCCGCAGTGCCTGCTTTGTCCTTTCAGACCCACAGGAAGCGCCTGGCTCCCCGCTCTCCACGAGGAGCTGGTGTGGCTCAGTGGGCAGAGCACCAGTCCGAGGACTGAAGGGTCCCGGGTTCAATTCTGGTCAAGGGCTTGGACCTGGGCTGCAGGCTCGATCCCCGGTCCCCGGTTGGGGCTCGTGTGGGGGGCAACCAATCGATGTGTCTCTCTCACACGGATGTTTCTCGCTCTGTCTCTCCCCCTCCCTTCCACTCTCTCTAAAAATTAATGGAAAAATACCCTCAGGTGAGGACTAGCCAAAAAACCCCAAAACCAAAAGGACCACAAATGAAGGTTTTCTCTTTCGGGGGCACTGGCTTGATTAGTTTCCACATAGACAAGATCCGCACTCAACCTAAGACCATTGAAATGAAATAAGAAGCCCTGTTTGCTTCCCGGGACATGCTTGCTCTAAACCTGCACAAAGCCCGGAAAGACACGGGAAAGCACGCGGCCATCTGGAGAGGAAATACCTAAGGAAGACTTCCTTCCGAAGAAACTCTTCTAATCGGGGTCCACTCCTTCCCAGAGGGTCGTCGGGAACCATGAATATGTCCCCCACGAAGGTGTACTGGAGCAGCCTGCAACAGAGGGCGAGGGGGCGTGGAGGGCGTGAAGCGTGCCGGGGCCGCGGCAAAGGCCCCCCAAAGTCCTAGCGCCGCACAAGGCCCGGAGGCCGAGGCACCCCGCCCCACACGTTAGCGTCTCCCCCGGATCCCAGTGGAGCCGAGCCAGCAGCTCTCAGCGGCTCTCCCTTCTTCCCGAGACCCTGGTGTCTGTCTGAGCCCGGGGGCAGCTGCGCCCAGCGTGGCTCACTGTCAACATCCCTCCCAAGGCCAGACGCCCAGACTCTAGGCGGGTGCCCGACGAAGGTTTACATTCGAATGGATGTGGGAGACCCCGTGGTGTCCTCAATCAAACCACAGCCCAGAGTGGAGACAGGAGCCGCGGGCAAGGGCTGCGGGGGCTAACGTGTTCCTGGATGCGCTCGGGGCTGCTCGCCTGCGGGGCTTCCCGGGCTGCCTCCCACGGCCAAGGAGCAGGAAACAGCTCTTCCCATGTGCACCTCCCGGTGGCCCCGCCCTGCCCTCACCCAGTGCGCACTCTCCACACCACGCAGGGCTCTTTCCCCAAACATGACGCACAGAAGCGCCTGGGAGCCCAGGGCTGCGCGCTCTTCTCCCTCTGGCCCTGCGGCTGGCAGCTCAGACTCCTCGCCCAGGACCCGGCCCTCTCTGGGGGGCTTATGGCCTAATAAACCCTTTCTTCCCGAGATTTCAGCTGTGAAAGCTGCTGTCCGCTGGCAAACCGCTGAAGACACCTTTAAAAAAGGAAGTTGTGAGCCCTGGCTGGTGTGGCTCAGTGGATAGAGCATCGACCTGGGGACTGAAGGGGCCGGGTTCGATTCTGGTCAAGGGCACATGCCTGGGTTGCGGGCACGATCCCCAGTAGGGGGCGTGCAGGAGGCAGCCGATCAATGATTATCTCTCATGGTTGATGCTTCTATCTCCCCCTCCCTCTCCCTTCCTCTCTGAAATCAATACAAATATATTTTTTTAAAAAAGAAAGACATGGTACTTGAAGAAGTGAAAGCAGAGGTTAGTTGTGTTTAATTTATCAACTTTTGAGGAAACAAAAGTGCCAGTTGTTGGACCGGGTCCGGGCCTTGTCTTGTGTTTTTGACGTTGGACCGGGTGGGCTCTGAGAGCGATTGGCCGGCGTGCACATGTCTCGGTGCCTTCAGGCTGCGTGTGGACACGGACAGCGTCCGGGAAACGCCGATGCGGGCCCAGGGCCAGCGTCCAGCAGGGACTAGCCCCAGGAGATCAGTGGCTCGTGAACTGTGCCCAGAGGTCAAAGAACCAGCTCCCAGTTCGGCTATCAACAGCTTTTTAACAACACACGGGCCACAGGCATGGAGTCACTTGCTCTCACCTGGGCCCTGGCAGCGACATGCCAATTTCCTATGACCCCTAATGGCTCAGCAACAGACACACATCCGCCGTGGGAGCTGGGAGCCCACCGAGGCGCCACCTAGTGGGGCAGCGTGGGCAGCTGTGTGGGTACCAGTCCGCTCCTTTAGGTAACTGGTCAAGTAGCTGTCGGATGGCGCTCTGTCCTGAGTGTCTGCGTGTGTGTGTGTTTGGGGGACCCCCAATCTGGTAGGACTGAACCCTGAACCTGGGATCCGAGCCACCTCCAGGTAGACAGCATCAAAACTGAGTTGTATTCTGCCTGGCTGGTGTGGCTCAGTGGTTGAGCATCGACCTATGAACCAGGAGGTCACGATTTGATTCCCAGTCTGAGCACATGCCGGGGTTGTGGGCTCAATCCGCAGTGTGGGGCGTGCAGGAGGCAGCCGAGCAATGATTCTCTCTCATCATTGATGTTTCTAGCTCTTGTCTTCTCCCTTCCTCTCTGAAGTCAATAAAAATCCTATATGATAAAAGGCTAATATGCAAATAGACCGAACAGCGG